ATACCATACCTTACCAGTACCACTACGACCCGACCCCCCCCCCCCCGCCGCCCCCCCACCACACACACACCTCTCTCAATCACCCTCTTCCCATGTCCCACTTTTTTATTTTATTTTTTTATCTTATCCTAGCCTTGGCTCACCTGCTTCTTCTCCACCTACCGGTGTGATTTGTCGTTGGGCGAGTTGATCACGAAGCGAACTTTCTGGTACCTGTTTTGTCTCTTTACCTTTTTTTTTCTTTTCCTTTTTTCCCTATTGCATTCCTGGATCATTCCTCACATCCTCCCCTCCTTCCTTCCTTCCTTGCTTCCTTGCTTTCCTTCTTCACCAATACTACGGTCGCATTCCTATCGAAGGACACGATGTCACGGCACCATACCACACTTAAGGATCTATCTTTAGACACCGTCAAAAGAGGTGGCCCCGACACCTTTTCTCTTCTGGCAGTTGCGCTGGGCTAGGGTGTCTTGTCATATCCTGCTCGTCCTGTCTTTGTCTCCGGGGAGATGCGAGGTATTTACCCTTTTGATTCCCTTCTCCCGGCTTTCTGTAGAATAGCCCCTGGTGTTCTCTACACCGAAAAATGTTTTCCTGGAGTTAAGGCATGAGACGGAGTACTATAGCGAAATCTACCGTTTGTCGGAGCTGTTTACTTACGCCTGCCGGCCTCCGTTTTCGAGTGGAAAAACGAAAAATGGAAAAGATGGAAAGGGAAGCGCAAGCACGGCGGATAAAACCCTAACCCAGTGTCTATTGGGGTTGAAGCAGTACCGTATCTGTAGGCTACTCACTCTTTGGCGTGCCCACGCACAAACCACAACTCATCACTCGGGATGCCTCCTCTCCTCCTTCAATCACCGCCTCTTCTGACGAGCGGAAGTGCAGGTCCCATATCTGTCGTGGCACTGCTGTATGTTAGTTTGTTACCGTCATGACCGTACTTTGTACATCACCCAGATGCCTAAACTAGTTCCAATTTGATTGAGCAACCCTCCAACTCCAGTTGAACAGCGATTACATCTGACAGCAAGACCTTTCTTTTTTCCTCTGTGCGCCCTCATAACCCCAGCTTGTCTCTTTGCCACAGGGTCCAGCGACCCGAATATCAGATGGCCGGTAAACTTTGAACCATGAGATTTCATCTACCCGCTCCGGACTTTCTTCCGTCTTAATGTACATAGGGCACAATAACCGCAGGAACAAGGAACTGGAACATTAGAAAAAACCAGATCGAAGGGACGTGAAACTCCTCATAGCTAATTCGATAGCTCATACATAGCTCATGATATAACGCAAAAACGTGACCTCGCGATACTTAACTGAAAACAACTAGATATTAAAGAGTAAGAGAGAAGATTAAAGAGAGCGAGATCGTGAGTGAGGGATGGGAGGGAGGGTATCGTGAGGTGATCGTTACGTGCATCAACATCGCGAACCGCCCGAACATTGAAATCTGACGAGAAACTGTGGGAAGAGTAATAAAGAAATAGGAAGGAAATTAACGAACTAGAAATTAAAGTTAAGAGAGGAGCAGGGGCCTGAGAAAACTCACAAGGCTCAAGAAAAGAAAAGGGAAGGGAATGAACGTGAAAAATAATAATGAAAATAATAAGCAAGCCAGACGCAGCCCTTTGGGCTTGCGGGGGCTGTGCGGTTGAATCCAAATCCGAAAAGCGCCGATACCCATGCTCACATCCACAGCTAAGTTTGAAATAAAGGAAGAAAACAACAACACCCCGTACCAAAAAGGAATGACCATACCGTGCCCTTAACATGCTATGAGTGTGTTTTTGCAAAAAAAAAAAAAAAAAAAAACCAAATGAGAGCGAGAAAAAAAATCAGAAAACCCCCCAATAGGGACAGCGAAAAGTGTCATAAGCCCCTCAATGTGTGCCTGCGTATCTCGTAAATGAACGTCTAGATTTGGAACGAAAGGAGAAGGAAGGAGAGACAGAAAGGGAGAGAGAGAGAGGAAATTACGAAAAAAGCCTTAATCAGGCGTAACCCTGGAGACTGCTTTCATTGGTCAACCTCCACAAAGAAAGTTAAAAACAGCTGTGGGGAGGCAAGCCAAAAAAAGGTGATACATGATGCATAGACTCCGTGTCTGTGCCTGAAGAGAAAGAAAGGATGAAAAAAAAAACCCAAATCTTACAAATTATAATTCGGCGGGGCATCCGTAGAGCTACCAGTGGGAGAAGGCTGGCTCTGATATTCGTAATAATCGGTAAAATCGGTCGGAAGATCCTGGGAAGATAGACTGTAATTCTGGTTGTAGTGAAAGACTCCTTGAGCTGGTGAGGAAGGTTGGTATTGAGGCCGCTCCATCAGTAGGATCGGGGGTCGGTAATCCCCATTCGACACGAGGTTTGGAATAGTGACTCCCTCCGCAATAAACTGAGAATTCGCGATAGGATAACCATGAGATGTCTGTCGGCGATGCCCTTCCAAAGGCCACGCAGCGCGCGATGAAGCTGCGTTTACACTCGGACTACGAGAAGATGCCGGGGAGTGGTGGGATTGGGGATGAGAGAGGTGTTCCGTGCTTGCGTAGAATTCGTCATATTGAGAATGATTTGATCCCCCTCCGAGACTCTCTGCTCCAGGAGAGCCACTGCCGCAAAGTCCATCGAAATCGTCAAAATCGGTTTCAATCCTCGAGGCGTCGATTCCAATCTCCTTTAAAATCGAGTTCGCCATCCTTCCACTGGGCCTGCCAGCAACGAACTGAGTAGAGGAAGCTGGCAGACCCTTTCGGATGCGGTCCAGCTCAATCAAGCCCTGAGTGAGAACAATGCAGCGGCTCTCAAGAGTTTCGATATATCTAGCAAGCATCAATTTCCCGAATCCGCAGAGCAAGAATGTGCGCAATATCTTCGGAAACTTACCCTCTTGGGGGGTTCTTATCTCTCGGCCTTCTGCGCTCACTGTAGGTGCAAACTTGATCATCGGTATTGCAACGGTCACATGGGTTGTCTCCATTGCACTGTTTGAAAATTAGGCTTGGACTAGGAAAAACATGATGCAGAACAAAATCTACACCAGTGTATTGAAACTAGGTACACACCTTGCTTTTCTTGATGCGGCAGCGGTCACAGGCTTTGCCGACTCGCTTCCGTTGAGTGCCACTGTGTGCTTGGTCATGGTGATCTGAACCGTACGAACTCATACTTGATATGGGACAGGTATACGCTCGTAGGAGAATACAGCGGTATGCGTGAGAAAGCCTGAATTTTGGTCGAGAGCGGGAGAGTCGTAAACGTGTTGCACTGAGTATTCGGAGAAACCAGAAAACGAATGACACGGAGCGAAGGTGAGCTATTCAGAAGCCAGCGGTAGGCAATATAATATAGCAAGTGGAGCGAGTGTGGATGAAAGCGAATGTTGTCCGGTCAAGGCTAAAACGAGGGAACCTTGGACTCAGGAATACTACGAAGGTCGAATATGAAGCTGGAAGTGAAGTATGATACTGAAAGAAACAGAGTTGTGGGGCAGTAGCTGTATTTGTAGTCCAAGGTGGTGTATGACTAATAGAAAAAATATACACATTATGCAAAGGCAAAGGTGCCCACCCAGAAAGCTCAGCATAAATTTACTAGGAATTATTGCCCCATCCTTTACTCGTACAGGGAAATTTTTAAACGGTATAACCAAGAGCCGCACTCTAAATTCAGAATTAGAGAAAACATGTTGTGCACTATAGAAGGGAAGTTATTCCATCCAATAGAGGGAGAGGAAGTAGTCATTCCATGTTACTGACTGCTATTTTATCTTTAGGTGTCGAACGGGGGGGTGAGCGAAGAAAAATAAAATATTGCGAAACATCAGAGCTATCCAATCCGTCGGGAGCTCATGCTTAGCACGATCCCTCATCGCAGGAATCTAGTTCACAACCAGCGCTACTCAGAGCCTAGCGGGCTCTAAGGTAAGAGAGCGAGGGTTCTTACGTCCAGAGGGGACAAGAGATAATATGACATGATGTCTCACGTCGTTCAAGGACTCAGTTATAGTATTCTCGTAAGTTACGGAGTTACTCTGCCGTCTCTTCTTTCTGCACCCACCTCCCTACATCTTTCATCCCCATGCCATTGCCTCACCAACCCTCACCACCCCCTCACGAGCTTCTCAACTTGTGCCGAATGAAGTTTCCTCACTTGAGTCTACTGATGAATAGAACATGCGGGACTCTGCATCTCTACGACAGTGCATCAATGCAACGGCCAATAGTTTATCACTCCGGCCACTCCACTTTTGGCAAACCTCAAAATAGAGCTCCTGGCCCTTCCAACCCCTGTCAACTATCTAAACCTTCGTGCAGCGACTGCAGCCTTTTTTTTCTCTAGAGACCGCACCATATCCTAGTCAGGAGAGTACGGTATCTCGGGCAAGCGTCAAAGACTCCGAAATATATCCCGACGGCGAGCACAGCATGCCATTATCTAGCATCCATAACATTCTCACGTCGGTGCTGCAGCCATCGGGCATGTGTTATGAATGAGGATTCAAGTAGCGTGCGCTGCAGCCATCGAATCTTTTGCAATAGATTTTGTTTGGACTGCACGGGCAACCGGCACTTCCAGCCTACCGATTATCGAATTTTTTTAGGATAGCTCTGGCTTGGCCTTGAACGGACAGCGATCCTCTTTCCAGGACTAGGTGTGAAAAACTGCACATAATACTTGTACCCTGGGAAAGGCTCAAAGCTCGCCAGTAATCGAAGGGAAGGAGGTTCCCGTGGCGCCTACGCTAGATGATAAAGGAAGAGGGGGCAAGAAACTCGTGCCAGTACCGGTACCGTATTTGATGCGGAAAATCAAGTGAGATACAAGTGCTGGAATAGTGCCAAGTGTTGATCTGAGCCCCGAAGATGTTCCCACATAGACAAACTATACTTGTACCAGTGCTCTTCTTGGTAAGACCATGTGTTGTACAGTATAGACCTTTCGCTGGAGGGATCCATTCTAAGTCTGGCTGAGGCTCGGCCCCACCGAACCCGCTCGTTCCCATACGGTAGGTTTCCGGATTCTAGAAAAGCCAGGGTATCACAAGACAGTTGGGAGAGCGACACCAAACGTCACCCATAAAAGCGCATAGAAAATACTGTAGCTGAAAAAGTTAAAACCGTCCGGCTAGCAAGTCACAAAGCAAGTATGGCATAGTATCATACCGGTATCATATCAAATCTAGCTAGTTACCGACCTATTAAAAACTCCGAACAGTAACAAGCTCTAAGCTACTAGTGGATTAATCAACCCCAAGAATTCATTTGCCCCGGGGTGGGAGGGGGGCTGGGAAGATAAATCCTCGGCAAATAATTTTCAAAGATAGTGTACGTGTACAGCACACTACTAGTACAGTAGTCTACAGTGCCCTGGGATACTCGTCCCAGATGAGATGTATCCGAAAAGCAGGGATTCGCAAAACATATGGCAAAGAATCCGTAGGTATCTAAGCGGCCATACAAACTCACGACTCGTATTTCCGGATACTGCTTGCCTAGGACGAATACCGGTGTTGTCCACGGTCGCCATCTCCTCCGCATTTCTAATGGGCACCCGTTGTGCGCCACCGCATTGCTAGGGCTATGAATCGTCACTCATGAGCAGTGAAGCCAGCAGTTATGAACAAAGGCATCCCTTGCGGGGATTGAAAGCTTAGAGTCGGAATTCACTTCGACCGGCTCCTAGAATCAAGGCCACCCCAAAACATAATGCACACGAAGTAACTATACATGAGAAGCTTCCTAGTGAAAACTATAGTGCTACCGGGTGAGGCAGGTAGCACGCACATCGCCAGCCCACTCGATGTTCGCCTGCCGAGAGGGAGTGAGCACCACGTACGAGTTTAATTGGCGATTATTCAGGTACCCCCACCCCGGGTTTACTTACTCCTCCAAAGGACATCCGGGGCTACATAGCGCACAACCCTAATGCGTGCTATTACCCCTGGTGAGATTAAGAACCCGGACACAAAACAATGATGCAACTAAATACAACAAGGCTATAGGAAAGAGGCCTTGACAGCGGAGTCCACCCCTCTCAAAAAGCCTTCGATATTTGCGAAATAAGTTCTGGAGTAATTGGGACACCGTAAACCGATCTGTGATCTCGGATTTATAATAAATCCGTTTGTTACATTGATATCTCGGGTTTACCACAGCTTTGAGGAGTCGAAGTTATTAATCTTGTCAGGAGTAGAGCGGGGGTAATATTCTTATGAAGATGCTGATGTTGTGTATTTTAAAGTGGAGTTTCAGTCCCCAACAGCACTCTTGAATCAATTGCTCGAACGTCAATCCGATACCCGTCGAAACCATCAACAAAACTACCGCTAATCTAAAAGACTTGAGCAGTCTACGAGGCTCAGAGGCGATGCCCTATGCTCGTGTGGCCTCGCCGCCGAATCGAGTATAGGTTCGGGGATACCCACAACCCTAGTCGAACGGAGCCAGCTTTGGCGATCCTCCAACAGCTACAAGCTATCATGGCCGATCTTAAATCCAAAATAGACCATAGCCCGGAACTGACTACGAGTAATTTAACTGAGGGCCCGGGAAAGATTGGAATCTTGCATGCTAACTTTCCCCGGTGCTACCCGTAACTGGTTCTAATTTTTGTAGCTTCAGGTTAGTTAGCCGAAATCAAAGTTACCAACCGCTCCCCATAAGGACTATACTGTACGAGTTCTGTACTTACCCATCGTTCACATGGGCAGAGAGATCTGGTTTTACGATTGAACCCCCCTGAAAAACAGTGTGCCCTATCTCGGAAACTCAGAACGGCGCAGTGTATTCCCGTACCCTGTAATCTCCTTAAAGACGCTTCGTCTATCCTCTTAAGTGCTCTGTGGCACTACCGCAAATAACACATCTTCCTTGCGCCGCTAGAACAAACATCACCATTACCCAAGTGCGAGATAACTGACGACTCTTGGTGCGCGGCCTACAAACGATCCCATAGGGTTTTATATGTGATTACATCTCAGGAGGTAAGCGCTCCCTTTCCATTCAACCAGGCTCATTCAACCTCAGCCCTCACTTTCACTATCGTCCCGATATTCCCTTCCTACGCGATTACACTGTAGTATGGGCTGTGCAACAACTACCCACCCAAACTCTAAAACAAGAATCCAAGAAACTGCCGCCATTTATCTCATTGCTAACTAAGTTACTAGCTGCTGACTCTGCCCATATATTCTCCTTACCCCCCAAAGATGGGAGTCCCGAGCGATTCCAATAGTGAAGCATCACTCGCTAGTGTTAGGGACATGCCCCAGGGTGCTAACTTACTACCTGAGTGCATACACCGAAGTGAGGATCGAGCCTAGAAATAACCGAGTGACGAGAAGTGACGAACCAGCACCAGACTTGAGCACTCTCCCAGTTGATCAGCCTATAACTCAATAGTCTAGTATGTCTGTGGCTCACCCTCAAGGCTGAGTATAATCTTATTTTTATAAAAGCTTCCAAGTTCTCTCAGCCTATCTAATCACGCCAACTCATTCTACTTGTATTTGTCTGTGCATGCTGGAACAGTTATAGAGGCATGTCACAGTAGTCCATTCCCTCAAGCTCCAGAACTGGGTACCAATACAGGTATATATGGCGGCCTATGCTCAATACCCACACTGGTTGACGATAAGAATCGTACTTTAGGGTTTACAGGAGTCAGTCAGTTTTATCCGTTTATATTCGAGAGGGAGATACAAGTATTGGGATGGCTACTTCCCATCTTATCACCCGGCCTGATAGGTTATATCCCCTGCACTGCTTTGAGTTCTACGGGGGAATTCGTTCCTCCTAGTCTAACGAAATTACTTCGGATTTGGTGAGGGCCATTTAGCCTGAATCAGGTTAGAAGGCTTCTAGCGCTCACTACCTCAATTGCGCTGTCCGCCCGACCCAGCATCACACTTGGTTAGTTTTATGATGCTTGAATTTGAGCCTCAATCCGCCTCACCTGGCTTATTTCGACTTCACCCTACCAAATGCAAGCCACTACCCGCAAAACTTCCCAAATTATATCAGGTGTCTCGCGAACCAAAATGGTGCCTACACACCATAATATCCCTTGAAATCCACTATCATAATATGACACGTTAGCAGAATCGCAGCGCCGGCTGACGAGATCCATCAAATCTAGTGGGTTAATCTTACACCGGGTCAGGAAAACACTAATCTTCTCAGGAGGCTCCACCCCCGAACCTGAAGGCTACGGCCCCGGCGAGGACGGTGTGCTCCAAGAACCCCTACTGCCCCCCCGGGACCAGACGCGGACGGAACCCACCCGCACCCCCCAACCACACAACTAAGCAAGCTCAGCGGGACATCAAAATCGATATCTCCCCGGACAATCTGCACCCACGACAATTTGCGAAAAATATTACCGGGTGCAGGACAAAAAGATATAGCTGTCCAACCATGGTTCATATACACACCTGGGGAGTTGTTTTCCTACAAGACAGGGATTATTTTTCTGGTTCACTATCCCTGTCTTGCAAGAAAACATCTCACCGGGTACCTGTGTAGTAGCACCCCTATACCGGTATTGCACTGCCTCAGAAGGGTTTACCCTTTGTTTTGTGCCCCAATCATGCCTGTTCACCACTTCCCGAAGTTTAAGCATTGGGGGCACTCTAATATATTCTGGCCTCGGCCACAAGAGCCGGCAAGCTTTTGCTACAGGAATAGGGTATACCCCAGGTACTCATATCTAAAATTCCTGGTCAGCTTGCTGAACGCCACACTTAAATGTATTATTGGACAACCCGTAAGAAATATTCCCTTCCACCTCAATAAGCAGTGGAATCCTGGGTATTAGATGCTCCGGCACCCGAGCCTGACGCTAAATAACCCACCAGTGCATTACCGCAATTGAGGAGAGGCCAATACCCCAGCGAACCGGAACTCCCCTAATTGGTAACAAGAAGTGCCTTAACCAGGCCTAATTGCGGTATCAATAAGGAGTGAGCCAAATAACCGGTAAAGGTGTAACCCTAACTTACGTTCACGAGATGACTCCAGGGCTATATCCAGTCCTTGTCGCGCCTCAAGCCCCGAGGTGTCCCGCGGGGTCTGCGGGCCTCTGCACGCCCTCGGGAAACTACTGAACCGCATTCATGGGGCTCGAGTGCCGTAGCTCCTGCAACCTTATTACCCCGAACCAATGGCTTTGCGGTGGGATAAAGGCCGTGGATCGATATCCTGGCCTAGCACCCCGCAGACGCCGAAAAGATCCTCGAGTCGGCAAAACATCTTCACTTATAGTGCTAGATAAACAGCCGGCAGTGCGCTACCGGTGGCAGCGAACTCTGCAGTTAAGTTATGCAGTAACTCATAAACTCACAAGTACGATCGCACCAACTGGGCCTCGTGGTGCAACAATCAAAGAGAACTCACATGAAACCCGACCGATCGAGTTTCTGAATGTGCTTATTTACCTTCTTAAGATCAGAACCGACCCCGGGTTTCTAGGCCCGCTCTCCCCATTTCACAAGAGATTTTTTGAAGGCTCTATATGCAAGTTTAGCTTGGGAACCAGATCGGTTTCTAGAAAACCCTCAACTAAAAATGGCACCTTGGGAAAAACGGGACACTAGAAACCATAGAAACGTGACCCGTGGGAGCCAAGTTCAAAGCCTAGTAGTCTTGTTAGCACTGCCGTGCTATTCCGTTGCACAAAGTCGTCCCCCATATCGGTCATCAAGCTAAATTATGAACATTCCACTCACGGAAATTCAGTTTCCCACGATTCCAGGGCGATCAAGCGCCAAATAATCCTACCGGTCTCTCAGCTGCATTCTTATACCATGACATAGGCTGTGATACTCATGTCCTGTATTAATCAAGCGTCCGCATGAGCGAAGATCTCAGTGCTAGCGAATAATTGCCCAAACCGAGTGATAAGGGGTGATAAGTTAGCACTCAACAACCCCAATTTTCTAACACAGGACCGAGAAGAACAAACATATTTCTGCATCTCTACGCATACAAGATCCAAGAGATAGGCGAGCTTTGATCTATTAAACCAAGTTGGGAAACGTTGCAAGAGCTTTGCTCCTGGCTTCCTCTGTCAATAATCCCATGCTTCGTCTAGGCCCGTGGTACTATTGTGTGTCTATGAGAAGCCGGTGGAGAGTCTCAGTCTATCACCTGGGTACTCAATCAACCCCACCACCTTAACCGAATAGTTTCGGAGCTCCAGGGTCATTGAGCCCAATCCATTCAGAGACAACAGAAATATTTTATCTGTGGAACCCCGGGGGGTTAAATTAGTGCATTTCCTCCCTTGGCCGAACCTGTGTAACAACTGAGAAACCATGCCACTGCAGGGTACCTGTACTTTACCTTAAATCTCCATTTGCAGCACGTTAGTTTTGTCGCTAAACTCTAGTCCATACTTGGCCGCCCCTACCTTCACCGTGATACGAAAGTAATTGTAGGATTCATGTGTATGACAACATGGCACGCATTCTAACACTTTCAGACCTAATGATTTCGGTAACACTTTACCCTTCAACATTACACAGCAAGTGTCCCCCACACTCACGAAATTGTGCGTCCTTTTTCCATCCCATGACCCCAACTGTTGGACTGCTTAGAGAGGGTTCCAATCATTAGATTGAGTCTGATGGAGGTCTGTTGTGAGGGAACCTTCTAAGCGATTACGCATATGTAACGCTACAAGGTTACGGGCTCTGTCTGCCAGGTGATGAATTTTGTCGGCATCACAATTGTACTCTTATCATACCTTATCACTCGCATAAACATCGGGCACATCCGTTTTGTTTAATGCTGGTAGCCAGGTAAATGGCTGAGCCATAGTGCTCTTGTGTGGGGGGGGGGGGGTGGAGGTAGCCCCTTGATCATTATTATTCTAGTCCTTGTGAAATAAAGACAATTTCTAAGCTATCATAGCAGTATAATTCCAAGACTCTCGCCCGCAAAGCAAGCCAATCTTCAAAACAAAGTGGATACTAAAAACCTCTCGCCACACCTCGAGCCCGGATGGATGAGGTCTCATTCGAGCTGCTCTGGAATGGGGTGTTTGGTACCATGGCCCAGGCCCAGTCAGATGCCCCTCACTAGGAGTATTCGAAGTTGAAATAAAATCCCAAATTATGATAGCAGACCTGGAGAACACTTATCTACCTTCTCCAGCAAGTAGCCTAATGCGACTTCCTGTGTTTACTTGTCACTGAAAGCACCTTCTTTTAACTTTGAATACCCCCACTATAAGCAGCTAAACCCCTTAGAAGGTTACCAACCAGCGGCAGCCCCGGATTGCTCGTTAGATTTAACTTATTAGCAAAAGGAAAGGAGCTAAGCGACCAGAGGACCCTTCAATGAACAATTGCTCTAACTGGGCTTAAATAAATATTATAGGCACTTTCCGACTAGTTCGATGAGTTGGATGAACCCACTCCTCTCTAGCTCCTCCTTCACCAATCCTAATCCCAAAACCACCATCCTTCCTTCATCTTTGTTTCTCATGGATACGACTGAAGCAAGCTGGACTGCGATCAATTGTCCTAACGATTCTCTTGATTGGATCGCCCCGCCAAGCAATGTGGTGGGTGTTAAGTGGGTAAGTGGGAGCAGACCATCTTCGTCTTCAGCGGATTGAGTTCCGATGAGTGCTGAATTGTTGGTGTCCAACGGTACATGAAACTATCACGATCAGCATAAACATCGTCTCCGCCGTCGGAAAAGTGATGGGATAGCTACCCATTGAGCAAGCCTGCCGTCTTGGCTTAGGGTAATCATTATCTTATCGGAAAAGTAAACTACTGTTGATTCGGTAGATATTCCATCTATTGCGGAGGTCGCCCGTTTGGTAGTGGCAGGAAAGGGGTTTTTGAGCGTGGGGTCCATATTGTTCGAGCCGGCCGTCGTTGTAGGGGGGGTCAAGGTCGATCTGTTGAGGGCGGGTGGTTCGGATGTTCCAGACTTGTGGGTTTACACTGACAGACCGTTAACGAGTAATAAATAATGAGTAAAGCAATTAGGGCCTGGGGTGGAGATATGAGATTTTGTATCATAGGCAGGCGGGAAAGCAATGGGGCAAATCAATGTTCATTCACATAGTCTATCGGGGTTGTTTTCTGCCGCGAACTCAAGACTCAAACCTGGAATGTTACGTAAGCAGCTAATTCTTGGCGCGTAAAAACGCGTTGCCAAATTTGTCGCGTCGCTCCTCAATTACTTCGTGCTCTCCCTTCTTTTTTTCTTCACTGCTTTCCCTGTCAACACCACAACACCACGAATCTCACGTTCACCCCGACTATCCATCTCCAACCCTTAATATAATTAGCATCCGTCAATACCTCATACAATAGCCACACAAGTAGCTGCCACCTACCCCTAACCCTCCTAAAATTGTATTTGCTGATAGATTGCTCAAGTGTTGGAAGCTCGTCTTGAACAAGCTGGTGTCTTAAAAAAGGTGGGTAGCTAACTCCCTTCTGCTCCTGCTGCTTCCTACGTGTAGTTAACTTTCAAATTTTTGTAGGTTGTTGATGCAATCAAGGATCTCGTCCAAGATTGTAATTTCGATTGCAATGATTCCGGAATTGCCCTCCAGGCCATGGACAACTCCCACGTTGCACTCGTTTCTATGCTTCTCAAGTCTGAGGGATTCAGCCCGTATCGTTTGGACCGCAACGTCGCCCTCGGTGTCAATCTTACATCTCTTACAAAAGTCCTCCGCTGTGCCCAAAACGAGGACATCTTGACCTTGAAGGCGGAAGATACCCCGGACAACCTAAGTCTTGTCTTTGAGAATGCCGAGAACGACCGTATCAGTGAATATGAGATCAAATTGATGGATATCGATCAAGAGCATCTAGGGATTCCCGAAACCGAGTATGCAGCAGCAATCTCAATGCCGAGTGCTGAGTTTCAGAGAATCTGCAGAGATCTGATTCAGTTGTCTGAGTCCGGTATGCCATAGGTGCCATCCGACCAAATCGGAATAAATGATAACCAAAGATTTATAGTCTCCATCGAAGCTTCCAAGGAGGGTGTTAAATTCTCCTGCAGTGGTGACATCGGAAGTGGATCCGTCACTCTTCGCCAGCACAATAATGTCGATAAGCCGGAGCTATCCACCAAAATCGAGCTTACCGAGCCCGTTGCACTCACCTTCTCACTGAAATACCTCGTCAACTTCTGCAAAGCGAGTGCGCTATCTTCCGTTGTTACTCTTTCACTCTCTAACGAGGTCCCCCTACTGGTTGAGTGAGTAATTCCAGTTGCCTGGTTTATGACACATGGTTAATGTTGATGGCTTAGGTATGCAATGGGCAGTGGCTTCGTCCGGTTCTATCTTGCCCCTAAGATCGGAGAGGAGGAATAAAGTGGCTATCTGGCACGGGGTCGTAACAATCGATGCTGTTTTCATGATTCGGCGGCGTGGGCCTAGCCCGGAGCATTCTTTTTTTGTGTACTTTTATGTCTAAAATCCAACGACGAGTTTTCCAGAACTGCTACCTTTTCTTTGTATTCTAGTCCATCCTGCAGTGGTTGCTTTTTTGCATTTCTCGATTCGATGTGGAGTTAGCTGTTCGTAGCGGAATCATACTTTATTGCATCCAATTACCCAATTTCTTACTAGCACAATACCTTTCACGATATCACTATTCTTATGTGGCCCGACAGAAAGCAACCCAACTAATACGTACTCCCTGCCTCTGAGTGAACACCCCCAACCCAGGACAGCGGTCACTCACAGCTGAGTGCAGCCGCAGATGCCAGCTAATGTTATATCCGTGCCCCCCGAAATCATCGGCCCCCGTCCCCTGTGTTGCTGAGGAACAGGTCTCAAGCCGGTTTTTGGGCGCCGGTTTATGATATCTCTAAGCTTTTATATCTTGGGGTAGTACACACTTGTGAGAGCTCCGGTTCTGGTCGGAAGACACATGAAGATGTGGCTTATCTCCATATATAAGTATCACCTCAAACAGGAGCTGCTCACCCAACGCTTGAGTTGATGCCCCCTTTGGAAGTGGCCCTGATGTCAACAGGGTGGCCGATAAGGCGGCAAACACGGCGGTGCCTTCAATGTGCAGGAGGGTTCTCGTACGCCAACAGCTCAGAAGGCTCAGGGGTTAGGTTATCCCACGAGAACCAAACTGCATGGGTTTCACCTGCTGCACCCAGGTGCGGCTTTATCCTGATCCCGTGATCCTCTATAGAGACGGGGTTCTCAATTCTTATGGTCGCCCAAGCTGCGGAGTACATCTGTCTCGGGGCGGTTGTATTTCCTCGCTGCTGCTAGCTACCGGTAACGTAGCCTAAGCAACACTACAAAAAGTCCAAAAATTGCCTTCAGACCACGATCCAACCTTCACGAACCAAACTAGAGTCGCGGTACTTCCCTGCATACTAGCGTGGGTCATCGTGCATTAGAGCTCGGGTTTCACCATGTCTTTTTGTTGGCCAACACCACAACTTAATTTGCGTTTACTGTAGGTATCATACTCATAAGACAGTGACAGAGCTGACCGGAGGCTGTTGTTGGAACGCATTAACTCACTGCAAGGGGACTAGAAGACCACAAGTACTGTAGGAATACCCGGGGGGAAAGTTCGAGGTGCGTATGTTATGAATATTGTGATATCACACCTAGAAAAGAGCCGGGTAGGTTTATTTTTAACGGTATGGGGTCCTCATAGTTTCTCGATGAGGAACTGGAGAGTTGAGTGCGGAAAGGCCCACACTTACCGTAGAATAAACCCTGTCTGGGGTCGAGTCCGCACCGACCTTGTGCATGAGGACAGTACTAGGACTGTACACGGCGCCGGAATGGCAAGGTTCCTAGGTACCATATTCTACGGCTCAAGGGTCGGCCATAAAATAGCAGCGCCCTACGCAACAACCATCAGGTCTGGAGGCAGCAGCCTCTCCTTGCTCAGCAAAATCCTGGAGTCTTTTTTTTCTTTCCTCCTTTTCCCCTTATGATAATTGTCTCGAAACGGAAGCTATGCACCTGATCCATTAATTACATTGTTTAAAGTTGGCTGAGAGGAAGAAATAGAGATTCTCCCGGCCCATGTTTCTCGGGTGTACTATAAATTTACCACCATAGTAATACCAAACTCTTGGTTACGCACCGCGCTACTATCTGATGTCTGACCCTTGTACAGTACCGCTACGGCTGAATGCTTCAGAACAAGGGCACTTCTGGTCTGGGAGACAATATCCGCCGTGGACCACATGTGGTGCTAACAGGGTCTACAGTACGGTACTGGTACTCTGGGCTGCTAATGGGCCATGGGACCATCGGACCTCTTGTGATCTGGTACTCTAATCCTGCAGGTACGAGTGGCCCGGTCACGAAGATACGGATGGAATTTGTGTACCGCCAGACTGAGGGGCCTCTCGTGACTCTCACTCGGGTTAATTGAATCTTGTTAGGATCCTGATGTGAGAGATCCCTAAAGGTCACCATAGAAAATCCTCTTTAGCATCCTGGAAACACTTTTGTAGTGAGCAGGGCTAAAAGCCTAACGATTGATTAACCTATCCTACCTATACCTGTATTCGCTATGGATGGACAGTGCTCAAGTCCCCGACTTGAATTGCGTCTTTCTGAGGGGTGACACACCAAAAAACATTCAGCCTCAGTCCGGCGAACCAAGCGCAATCATATCATGCCAATTAGTAATAAGAGCATCTTGAGACTCAAAAATTTGATACCACCGTATGTCGGTCGCGATACCCCATTGCAATCCCTTAACCCGTGTTCAGACAATGGCCTCTGTCCACCCCTTAACTCCAAAGGTATAAACGGTAGTTTATCATCAACGAGGGGAAGGTCAAGCTTGTCGATTGGCTAGGTCATTGTTCTGTGAGTGAGCCCATTCCTTTGTTGGACGTGTTTTGAACTAATCGGAGTAATGTTCCTGCCCATCACAGCGCTAAAAATGGGTGAACTTCGATACAGATGAAGGGATAGTTTTGACCAAAGCGCTCAGTCGACTGGCAAACGCTTTTTATCTCAGGCCGACCAGGTTTCCCCCCAGGGCAAGCCTCGCAGTGTACTCGTACAGCACACACTTACCGGTACGGTACCACATGGGCTATCTCGGGATATGCTGGTCTGTGAGATACTGCACTAGTACAATACTGTCCTGACACTACCGGGGCATTAGGGAGAAATGCTGTTGAGAACAAGCCACCAGGTTTAGTCCACACCACAGAGTTTTTTTCCAGTACCGAAACGGTGCTGATTTGATCACTTAACCCAATTCTTAAACCTTTACCAAAGAACAGGATACTGTGCGAGCGCGCCCCTTCTGCGCATTTGATTCATGGAACATCAAGGGCTGTGACGTACGGCACAGTACGTTCTAAAATGTGCACATGCCATTTCGGATCCATGTTCCTACGTAGAACCTGATCCTGTACTCGTACCGTACTCGTGCTTGGGCGATAAAGAGGGCGGAAACTACGGTACGGTAGCCTCCACTTGGACCCCCGGCTCGCCAATTACTTTCGATTTTGTGCAGGGGGAAACGTCCGCCTCAAGCGAGAGCCAAGACCCAAGCTCATCAGTTTGGCTTGACTCGAATATCGGTATGCTTCGAAATTGGGGGGCTGTCAGCGGTATCAGGAGTAACCCCGTGGCTTCCTCGATGAAGGGCAGTGGTAGGCAAGGGCAACAATGTCTCTTATTCCCCAGGGAAATAGTGTACTTGGTGATTCCACGAATCTCCCGAAATCTTGGTCTTTCCAAGGCGAATACCATGCCAAGATTTCCGTATACTTTTGGAATCGAACACTCGAGCATCTGCTTGGGTCCCTGTGGCTGGCCGAAAGGCGCCACTGTTGCTCAGCCCTTCCGTAGAGCACAGTGAATTCCCGTTTGTTAGTGCCAAAGTGCTGTAGCACTCGAGTACTCGTACCGGCTTGGTTCTCGGTTAAAGCACAGACTTGGTCCAATAGAACCTGGACTTACATCCTACGAACGCTCCTCGTGGATGAGCCCGAACAGTGCACCCCTGTCGTATGCGAGACAAATACCGGTAATTCGCTAACATTGGACGTAGGAGCGCGGATTGAGATTGCCAAAATCTCAGTGTCCCATCAGCCCCAACTGTGGGGCCGGCACGGAGAGACAGCAGGAAGTTATTCTCGGGAAGTGCCGCACGCGACCATGAGACAGGGAGCGGAATACTGTACCGATACCGATGGTAAGGTTTGAATAATTTGTCAGATTAGCTCTCCGATCCCAACACCAAGCAAAAGACATCACCATCGCGAACGGCGTGGTGAACATCGAGACCCCGGCTGCCCCCCCGAAGTGAGTAAAGGGGGCGGGGCAAGACAAAGGAAAGTCACGGCTTCCCACGGGCCTAGTTTAGCGTATGGGGAAGAGCAAAACTTGCGCGAGTCGGAGAAAGGATATAACATCCTGACAAACACAGAAGAGCAGACCTGGGCAGCCAGAGTTGCCCTCCCATGCTAAACCTATCACTCCGCGATTGAGCTGTGCCCTACGTCTATTTTTGTCATCACTAAATATCACTCGGGAGTGGAGAGTGGTCCTCTCCGCCTAGAATCTCCCGAATGTACTCGAGTACTTGTATACCGGTATGCAATCTTGGGTGTCGTGGAGTAAGTTTTTATGAGGAAGCACACCACGATGGGCTAAATAAGCCTGCGAGAGTGGAGATCCTTGTCAATGGCGCCCCTTACCGTAGCTCTCTGTTGCGCATCAACCCAAATAGAATTTCATGGAGACGCTAGAACGGTAGTGGCCGGCCGGCATTTGTGAGGTTGGCAATAAAGGTCGGTTGAGATATCGTACTTGAGCCAAATGCCTCTATAAAGCGGCAGGGACTGATATGGAAATTTCTACGGAGTAGGTGGAGCTCGAGGAGCCGCTTGAGTCGGCTGTTCTTGCCAAGAAGGACGCTGATACCGGATTTTTATAAGGAGGGGAGAATAAATCCAGAATTCCCCATCAAAATTGGTGCGGGGATATTTTCTTGGCAAATACGGGCGAGCACCGTTGGTTGCCTACCGTGGGAATCCTATGGGCACGTTTGGGCGCCACCAATTGACCCGGTTGCCGAAAATGAGTCCACGAGTCACAAGAAGTCACTCGTGATAGCAGGAGCTGCATGACTTTCTTCTAAAACATTTAGCAATGAGGCGGATCCCTGGCTATCTGTCTGTCATGTCGCATTGCCACCACTCTGAACCTTCCGTGATCAGTGACCAGCGGCGACAAAAGCCTCATGGGAACATGACGCTGCCCTTACAGGATATTAGGCGAAGCAGTCGAAACTAGGATTTGAATGGCATTTGTTGGCAACTGGGACAGAAATTGTCTCTCCTGATTTCTCGAGGGAGTCTATGGAAGCGAGAGTCTGTGTAATGTCACCGGACATTCTTGTTATCATGGCTGTAGCGCTGGGTCACCCTCCATACCAATCGTGGTCCACCGGTCGTTGAGCTCAGCTGCCAGTGGTCATATTTATCATCGAATTAAGCCTCCCGGGGCGCTTTACGTGGGAGAAAAGAGCTGGCTGCCCGATCCCAGCTAGGTGTCTGGCCGCCAGCAGGCGTTTCTCGCCAAGGAATCTAGTCTTCCCCCCATGAGGTTCGCAGCAAGGATCAACTTCTCTTGAAAGCCCAAGAACGCGGAAGACACTTTCCCGGTCATATCCTAAGCTTAACCATTTCCCGCAGGGCCGAGAATCATCCGGACACGATTAAACCCACTCCCCCCAAGAAATGTCCCGACGATTACTGCCAAAACCCTCTACCAACCCGGGCGATGAGAGGAGGTCACTAAAGCCTCTGGAGAGGCGGGTGAAGAGGAGCTGCGTGGCGAGCGCTTGCATGCCGTGCCGGAAGCGGAGGTCCAAGGTTAGTTTCCGGGAACTACGCATGGCGGGAATGGGTTCCACCACGGTATGATGACAAGGGCTTACATGGGTAGCAAATTAACAGTGCGATGGAAAGGTACCCTGTGCGTCATGTGTTTCTAATGACCAGTCCCAGTGCGTGTATGATAAACAAAGTGACGGCCGTCGAGCTGGCACTTTAAAACGACATATCAATGAGCTATCTGAGGACAACAACACCTTCAACTGCATCTTGGGAACGATAAGGAGTGCTCCGGATGAATACGTCCAGCCCATCATCACCCGACTAAGGTCGAACGAGGACTACACCGACATTGCGAATTTCATACGAGATCACCCCTTCGAGTCACCAGAACCTACAACACCAACTACCTCGACACAACGGGGATCCTCCGTAACCGTATCGGGGGAAATAGCGATCTCAGAGACCTCGAATGACTACACGGAGTATCCTGAGGGGAGCCAATTTCTCGAAAATGTCTTCCGCGGGACGAAGGGAGGCACCGCCGGGGAGAATTACTTGCGGAACGTACGATCATGGACGAGTGTGACGGATGACACTGAATTCGTTGGACACCTCCTCTCTCTCTACTTTACATGGGAGCACACTTACTACGCTTTGTTCTCGGAAAAGATATTTCTCGAGGACCTCGTTTGTGGCAGGAAAGGCTTTTGCAGCGGGCTCCTTGTGAACGCTGTTCTCTCACTGGCATGCACCTTTTCCGAAAGAACAGAGGCCCGGGCCAAACCGAGCGACTGGGGGACCCGGGGGGACCACTTCTTCGCCGAAGCACTGCGGCTGCTCGACGAGGAGAACATGACGGAAAACATCAGCGTTACGGTTATCCAAGCCCTAGCGGTGATGGGGATTCGTGAGGGGGGATATTCGCGGGATGTGAAGGGATTGATGTACTGTAGTCTGGCGTTCCGTCTGGCTTCAGAAAGGGGTTTCGGCGAAGGGATGAACGGGGATCCCAGCAACCCCGAGGTGGAAGTTAGGAGGATGACTTATTGGGGGTCATATTGCCTAGACCTGTGGGGAAGCCTTATCCATCCCGGTATTGCCCTTGTGCTGTGATTCAATGCTAAGAATTTGTGGTATAGGGCGTGGTCGTTTGTTTTAGCACGACTGCCTCAGCTCGAAGGTGAACGGCCGCCTCTGCCAATGCCCCGGGAGGGAGATTTCGGCGGCAAGGTGGGGGGAGGAAGTTCGAACAGTGAAATCCATGCATGGCTCCCCGGACCCACACTGTTTGACCAGAATTTTAGCCAATTCATTATCTTGTCCGGGATTGTCAAGGATATTACCTTGGCGTTTTACGCCCCTAGACAGGTCTTCACTGTGAGGAAGCTCTATGAGCTATATGATCGTTTGGAAACTTGGAAGGTTGGGCAGCCCCTTGAGCTGCAATTCGCCCCCAGGAACCGAGTGCCACACTCCCTCTGGCTTCAGTAAGCAATGCTTCCAATCCATCCCTCCCAAAGTCTATTTCTAAAGCAGCCCACAACTAGCATGTACCACCGGGCCGTGGTAATCACTCTCTTCCGGCCATTCCTGGAGGTGAGGAGTGACAATCTGGCGCTCTCTCCCAAGGCAGTCTGCCTTGAGACAGCAAGGGAGCTCCTGGCCATATCTGAGCAATTTCGGACCATTCATAGTTGGCAAAGATTCCCGAATACGGTCCCCCACTTTGTCTTCATGGCTTGCCAAACTCTCCTGCTCGACGCACAGAACGAGGCGGACAGGTTGGTTCGAGGCGTCGAGACCTTGCTAGAGATGAGAAATTGCTGGCCTATCGCCGGGCTCATGCTACTAATGATCTCCATATTTGCCGAGAAATGGGAGGTCGATCTTCCCGCGGAGGTACGAGGGCACCTGGACAAACTATCTAAAGATCAATTGAGGGTCGCTATGGCCTTTAGCGGTTGGCCACCTGTCCGACTGGAGGAGGAAGCAACTTGGGTTTCTTTCCGGCATTTGTCACTTTCCGAGGGCTAGAGTTATCACGAACTTGGAGTTGAAATTAATACTTCAAGTATATTCCCATTTTTTCCACCTTTTTTTTTTTTTTCACCTTTCCTTCATTATTTCCTCTATCATTTCCTTCCCATCTCCATTTCTGCATTTCAGCTCCCCGGGCAGTTGTGATGGTTCGGGCGTAATATCTTGGGATAATCATGGTTTATGACGATGGGCGAAATAATCGAGGGCGCAATTCCCCGGCTTACGGTCTTTTCGGCGTTGGAAAAAAAAAGCATGTAAGTATAGAGGACTGACTATTGAAAAAAAAAAAATTCTTTTTTCCTTCTTTTCTTTTCTAGCTTGTACCTATTCCCGGTATACAGATGCCTGTGAGGGAAGGATTCGTGAGAGAGCATGAACAGAGCAGGGCTCGGTTTGGGGGCTGTCTGGTGGCAGGTGGGGCGAAAAAAAAAAAAAGAGAAAAAGAAAAACACTGGGTGCTGTTGCGAAATGGGTTAGTTTCCACACAGAAATACATATGATGGCTTGATTTTTTCTTCATTCTTTTCTCTTCCTTACCTCACCCTCACTCCCTCGAGCTACCGTATGATACTTTCCACCTTCTCCACGAGAGTTTTGGGTGAATCGAATAATTTACCGTCCGCAAGGTACGATGCCGAGAGATAGAGATTAGTCGATTCACCCCTCGAGGGGTTGACGTCAACCTGGAAGATTCCGAGACGACTTTTTCTCCTATTGCTGGGGTTTACTGTTATCCGAGGGGGTGTGTTGTGCGTGGGGGGGGGGGGGGGGGCACAGAAGCGAGAGAGCAGGCAGGAAGCAAGCTGCAAGTACTAGTACAGTACCCGTACTACCGTGCTGTACCGTACCGGTACTCGAATATGATACTGCGCGATAGTTCAAGCGAGAGGTCGCCAGGGGGAGAACGACCTCCCTGTGATCACCGCTTCTGAACTAGAGTCATTTGAACCTGCTGTTGAGATCTGCCTCAGGCTGCTCTTAGCTTTGTGCCCCGTTCTGTCCTCCCTTCCTGGCAGTTTTCGCTCGATCCTGTCGAGTGGGATGCCGCGTAGAGTAAAGTGCCTCTTGCAAGTGCGTGTGAAGCCTCATATCGCACAAGTACTCGAGTGCTGTATCATACGAATACCTGAACTCGAGCACATGTATGATAGCTTCCTTCGAGGGTAGGACTACGGTAAGTTAACTATCGTGGGTATATACAAGTACTTGTCGTCTAGCGTGCAGTGGGTGAAGGGGTGAGTGATTGGTGGATTCGGTAGGGTTTCAACCCCCACCCCTGTGTCTCTCTGCGGTACTGTACTAGTACGAGTACAGCACACTGCTGGTACCGTACGCCCTCCCCCCCATTCTTCCTCTCCTTCAACTAACAATAACGCTACCAAGGTGAACTTAGAATTTCCTGAATACTGTACTGGCACCGTACCCCACAACATTCGCTTACTCCGCGTGACACGGTTCTCATAGAGGAATCACGGCGAGGCCTCCGAGATAAGAGGTCGGTTGGTGCTTGCAGTTCTGCATCACTGGACGTTAGATTACGGGTAGAAGGCTAGCACAGAAGGGAAGGTGTTGGGCGGGAAGGGAGAAGAGCCAGCTCCTTCTTGCTGTTGCTGCTACAGTACTGCTGCTGCTGCTGCTTCCGGGGTTGGTTTAGTTCTTAGCCCCACGGTTCTCGAGTACGGGTATCACCGTTCTCGATGGGATCAGGGACATTGCAATTTCACGTCTAGAGTCAATCCTAGCAATCTCGTTGGTCCGGAACTATCTCGCATACAGAGCCCTCTCTCGCAAGGTCTCAGGAATACTGTGGTATCGCACGGTAGCTAAATTGGGTTCATCGATTTGTTCAGCTGCTATATTCTCCGGACCTATGGGGTGGGCGGATGGCTTGGTGTGAGCAGGAACGATTGGATGGATTTTGGAATTGCTAACAGGTGAAAAGTTTCCCGATTTGCTCTCCTGCGTATGTAAATCGCATCACCGGTACCGTGCCATACAGTGCCTAATGAATGCACTCGAGTTTGGTGCCGGCACCTTAGAACCTACCCTCGCTCCACCTCACATCAACCGACCGATACCTCAACTTGCGGCAACGACACCAACGAATAGAATTTTTCCGATTGGCTATTAGAACATATTTAGCTTCCAAGGTGCCAGCACCATGCTGTACCGGTACTAGCACTGTAGGGACCTGGAAAACCTCGGTCTTATGATACTTGTGATGGCAACTTAGCCTGCTGTGTCCTGCCACAGCCTGAGCCAGGAACGGGAGCGACATGAGCAAGAATCTGATATGCCAAAAATGGTTCGCAGATGGCTTACCTTGCACAGTACGAGTACAGTACGGTACTCGAGTACGAGTGTCGTCACCTTTCCGTCTGTCTGTCCGTTCGTCCTTTCCATGTTTGGGGGAACAAAAACAAAAACAAAAAAAAGAGAGCGACTCGTCCGGGCTCGTGATCAACTCGATCTTAAAATATTTCGAGCCGACGGGATCCAGCGCCGCTTCGTTAGCACTCCCGCCTACCACCCGGACGGGTGACAACGGCTTAAAAGGCAAACTACGGCGGATCATGATGGGTAAACTGAACTGAACGCTTTTATCGATTCGCCCGCATCTTTTTCCCTCCCCCCTCGACGACACCCTATCCTGATCTGATCTGATCGTATTTAGAATTTCCCCATCCTTGCTGTCCGCGAGGAAGGGAAGGAGGGGCGGGTCTTGGCGGTGTGCGCCTCGCCCATCTTATCGTATGTCCGGAGAATTGGCTGGGCCGATACCTTCCCAATGTGGGTTGCCTTGATTACCGGAAGCCCTACGGTACGGAACAGGAATATACAGTACGGTACTCGTACAAGTACATGTACTTATAAAGAAATAATAGGGGTGTAATAAAATCCCTGACTGAGTATCAGACTGATTCCCTGAGCCAATTGCAACGGACAAGACCCCAGCAGGTCATTAAGGTCCCTTTTCAACTCACAGGAACCGGTATCCCTGTTTCAATCGCGCACCTTTCATGCTGGTCTACCGAAAAGAGAGGAGGAACCAGTACTGGTATGATACCGCAAAAACTCTTGAAATCCACTTTCTCCGCCAATCCTGTACTCGAGTACGAAGTACCCGTACAATAACCTCCGGATTCTGAGTCAAAAGATCCTGAGGGGGATTAGTAATTTCCCCAGGCGGTAAAGTCTGAACCTCCGGTGTGTGTTGGATCTCGTTAACGGGTATTCGCAACTCTGTTAACCTGTGGAACTAAACTTATCGCGAGCGAAACGGAGATTAACCCTTCATACGGGGGTAGTGGATTTCAAAGATTTTTTTTTTTTTTGCGGTATCTTGCCTGGCGGGAGCGGGGGGGGATCAGGAAGGAGATATGATTCATTGTCAACTGAACCACGCATCGCATTCGCCCCCAACTGTGATATCTACCCGGTATGCGGCTTACCACCCAGTCAATCAGCCTTCCTCTTGCTTCCTCTTCAAAAGCAAGTACGAGTAAAGGTCTTTCTGGTGTGGTGGCAATGGAGGGTGAGGATATCCTTCCTGCCTTTCTTTTGGGAGTTATGGTATTATAGCTGCTTACGAAATCGCACACTTGCAGACCCGGTCCCAACTTTTGATACCGTGCTGTGGCATTGAACCGGATTGCTCAGTGCTGCACACCACCGGTTTGAAGTATACGCACGAGGGTTGCATGGAATGCCCGGGCTTCGGTCCTCTCCATTCCAAGAGCTGTCTCTGATTGGGGTACGATACGAGTATTGTGAGTGTAGTAAGTTTCTGAAGAATAGGGCGCAAGGCAGAATCACACGGTGGAAAGATAGAAGGGGGAAAAAGAAATGAGACTCATGAGAGCGAGTGAGAGAGAGGGTTCAATCGCTTCCATCCCGACACCGGTTGATCGAAATGGAAGAAGGGAGAGAGGGAAAAAGGAAAAACCTCTGGTTTCATCTTTGAGGAGTGTACTCGAGTACTGGTACTAGTGCTAGTGCTCGAGTACAGTATCATACAGAGTTTTTTCATTTCTGTGTGTGGTGCACCAGCAGCGCCTTCTGTTCCCTCGCCTCGCCTTGATCTTTGACAGGACGGATGCTCAGAGCGTTAAGGTACTCGTACAACCGGCGCCAGATGAGGATACAAACGGTGCAAACGGTACGATGGGGATCCGGAGATGTCCATTCCGCCTGTTTTCGTTTTGTTTTTTCTTATTTCCGGGGGGGAGTTCCGAGGATAGGATAGCCAAGGATTCGATATGGGGGGGCCTGCTCGCTTGAAGTGCAAGGTGGATTTCCATTAAAATTTGATATCATGACTCTTACCATAATCTTACATTACGACCTGCAAATAAAAAATGAGTGACTTACCGTACATATTTTTTTCTTTTCTTCCTTTTTCCTTTTTTTCTGTCCTGGAGCACGGGATCATCCCTCCGGGACATCGGGTGTCTGATTCTGAGGGATAGGCGATCCCGGATTTCAAGGACAATACTTGTGCGAGTAGCGATACCGTACGGTAGTGCCGTCCCCGGAGGACAAATCCCTAGACCCTAGAGTGCCCCGGGAGCGCTTTTACGGAGGGGACAATATTTGCCATGGGTCGGAGTGAAATTGTGAGCACTTTATGTCGCGAAAAGGACTCAGGTGTACCGGTACCGTACTCCCGACCGAGATCTTGGACTGCGGTCAAGGGCTTGGGTCTAAAGTCCCGATTAGGGTCAGTTGAGGTCAATGATCCAAGGGACTCGACTCGACCAGAACCTCACCAGAACCTGTTATAATACCAACTGGAATTATGGGCAAGTGATCGGGTCCGGAATGACGGAAGGTGAATTTCCGCTGCCGGACCTCTTCAACTATCTGAGGCAGGAAAAAGGAAGAAGAAAAAAGCTCCTGTTTCTGTTACGTGCTGCAGGGTTCGGTCCCAAATCGAGTAACCAAACGATCCCCGTGCCAACGTTCCTAATCACTCGGCTTGGCTGATCTAATCTGATCCATCACCCACCACCCCGATTCCAGACTTGTCCCTGCTTGTATGAGTGCCAACAAGAGTTTTTGCCCGCCCACGGATATCCGAGCCCTGACAACATGTCAGGCCAGGCTTCCCCGGATGCCTTAGTTGATGGTGAGCATGTCTTTCACCCTTCTGAATCCACCGGACTTTCGCTAATTGTCTTTTTTTCCTTCTTTTCTTCTGCCCGTAGCACAAAAATCTCTCGAGTACTGGAACGGTGTCGACGCGACACCGAATGGTAACGCTCTGATTCCACCATCGATTGCCCTCATGGCTGCTGTGTTTCTGACCTTTTTGCTACCGTAGGGATGCTCGGGGGCTACGCATCCGTTTCTCGCGTCGATCTCGTCGGTTCCCGTACCTTTATCGCAAAGCTCAAACTCCCTGATACCCCCGCTACGTCAGCAGGACCGAGGGTTGCCGATTGCGGCGCCGGCATCGGGCGCGTTACGAAGGGATTTCTGTCCAAGTTGAATGGTGGCAGGGTCTGCGTGGATATTGTCGAGCCGGTTGAGAAGTTTACGGATCAGGCAAGGGACAACTTGAATGAGGAGATCGACAATGGGCGGGTTGGCGAGATTTACAATGTCGGACTTGAGGATTGGGTTCCGGAAGCAGGGGTATACTGGGTAATTTGGAAGTGAGTTTGGCTGCCCGGCTCTGTGATATGATAACAAGCTTGCGGAAGGGTCTAGAAGTATCGGAATTGTTAACTTCCCTCAGCCAATGGTGTTTAGGGCATCTGCAGGACCAGCAGCTAGTTGACTATCTGGAGCGCTGTAAGGCTGGCATAGTTCCTGGTGGGGTCATTGTCGTCAAAGAGAACGTAGCCCCAGATCCTGATGATATCTACGATGAGGTGGACAGTAGCGTCATGAGGTAAGATACTTTATGAGTTCCCTTTTTCTTTTTCTTGGCGCCTTCACCGAGCTGGGCTGACGGGGCTGGCAGGACCGATCCTAAGTTGCGTACGTTGTTCGGGCGGGCTGGCCTAAGGATGGTGCGGACCGAAGTACAGAGGGGCTTGCCTAAGAAACTCTATCAGGTTCGTAGTTACGCACTGAAGCCTTCTTGAGGCCAATTCTTAGAATATCCTGTGTGTCTCTATCTATCGTGGCAGAGGTGCTGGATTAGCAAACCGGACTTGCTAGATGAAATAAAACTGTTCTTATGGTGAAAAAGATGTGTTGAGACTACCTTGGCCAAAGGAATCGCTCTGGGATGGGGGCGGAGTCATGCTGTACACTGGTGGGTGGATAAGTGGGGGAATGGAGGAGCTGGTCTGTTGGCGGGAGTGCGACCGAGGGTGGGTACGGTAAAATTTTGGAAAGATTGGACAGGCTACAAAATATCTATTTTTTGGTTGATTCCGTAGTCTGTCGGCAGTGTTTTTATACAGTAACATAGAGAGGATACATGATTTGATTAACCGCCATATGCTGGAAAAAGGTCTATCACTGCGTATGAGGCTGCTTAACCTGGTGCGGGTATTTTTGGCCCAAAACTTCCAAGAATGCGCCAACAAGGTGCAAACTCCCAGTGACCAAGACCTGGACAGGCGCTTTGTGACTCAAGGTGCTAACGATCCTAAGAGCATCCTCGACGGTTGGAACTACGTGTGTAGCCCTGGTACCCGGCTCCGCATCCACCCAAGCTTCTGCAAGCTTTTTTTGAACCGAGAGATTTTCCAAAGCTTTAGGATCCGTTCCGACACTCACGAGATCTAAGTTTTGGTTAGCATCGTGTTTGTGATAGTCATGGACGGACTAACCAGCTTTATGGCTTCTCTCCTTGAAGGTCATGTTGGTGCAGAATATGGCTTCATCAAATATCCTCGTGTTGACCCCTAGGATTTCTTGGAGGGAACCGGCCAAGGCGTTGATCAGAGCATCAGAGTCACGTTTCTGCTGGTTGAATATGAGGACGCGTTTGTTTATGCTGTTCCGGCAAAAGCGTATAGTCAGGATCAGCAGGTAACTTCAGATCCGCATGAGGGAGACACCTACCCGGCGGCCCTGGCTCCAAACCACTTTCCGCAAACTTCCAAACTGTCAACGGTGTGAGCGCCATCGATACACCATTCGATTGCACCCGTCTTAACAAGTTGGCATCTGCCGGGCCAGACGACCTCGGCGAGTCCCTTGACAAATCTTGGAGGCAGTTTCCCATCAATGATCCCGGGATTCATTCCAAGTAGGGTCAAATGCTCGGCTGCAAGCGCAACTGCTAGAGAGGCATTACCATTCATGAACTGTGCTGGAAGACCCAACTTGACCTCACGAGACCTGATTTGAGGGTGAACGTGCACGACTTCGACCGTGGACCCCTTTTCATTAGCCCTTTTCTGGATCACCGCCAAAGCAGATGGCTGCTGTGGGACCGTGAGAGTACGGGCAGAAGGCTTGATAATGCCAGCCTTATGCCAGGCAATCTCCTCGATTGTGTTACCCAGTACGTTTGTGTGGTCAATTCCTAAGCTAGTGATACCAACCACGGTGGGTTTCTGGATAATGTTGGTGGAGTCATGCTCGCCACCGATGCCGACCTCGAAGATAGCGGTTTTAACGTCCTCACAGAGATAAGTGTGGAAAGCGACCAGGGTAAGGAAGCGGAAGTAAACGGGTTTGATGGTTGGATCGCGTCCCTCTCTGACGGCCGAAGCTTCAAGTCTATCCCAAACTTCGAAGAAGTACTTTGCGAAAAGCGCTTCGGAAATCGAGGCTCCATCAATCTGAATGCGTTCACGAACGGCAAGGAGATGTGGGGAGGTGTATAACCCGAGCTTGGAGGCTGCACCTCCCAGGGGTTTATATTGAGCTAGAATGGAGGCCGTGAAGGCGCAGGTGGACCCTTTACCCTTAGTGCCGGCGACATGGATAACATTCAACTTATCAAAATCGGAAGGCTGGCGGGATGGGGGTTAGCGGGTACCGAACGGAAGCCTAAGAGGGGGTATAACCTGGTATCCCAACTGGCGAACCGACTCGGCCATTTCAGCGATTGCCTTCTTGTTCATATCCTGATTGGATTTCCGAATCTCCTCCAATATTGCGAAATTAGACTGCAAAGTATTCAGAGCGGCGATAGCGCCCTAATTCTCATTGTCAGCTAGCGAGGGAAAAGGAATGGGAAGCGGAACGAAACCTCATAGGTTTTAGGATACTGGATGGATGCCATGGTGGAATAAAAGGTAGTAGCGTATAGGCGACTGTTTAATAGGGTCGAACTGAATTGAAAAAAGCGCATGCGCTGGATTTCGATTTGAGTTTAACCAGGGAGAATTGGGTGGAGAGGTGGGGAGAGAATGCAGGGAGAGAAATCGAGTGAGAGAATGCGGGGGGGAGAAATCGAGTGAGAGAAAGGGAGAGGAGGCAGCGGAAGAAGAAATCGAGTGAGAGAAGGAGAACTTGGTCGGGTGAGGGTTTTCGTTGCAGTTAGGGTTGCACTTGGGAACGTTGATGGTGTAAATTTCATGGTGGGGTTGAGGGGGGCAGAGTAAGGGCAACAGTGGGCGACAAGAGCCGCGTTGTTCAGACCAACAAGTTCCGCATTACCGGCACAGTACCATGTTGTGACACCCGGACCCTTGGTTTCCCAAATTACTCGGGGGTCCACTTGCCCAAGATGCAACTGTAACTGGTGGTACAGTACCAGACTGGAAGCCTCTTAGCGAAGCCTATTATTTTGTATCTTCGCTTAGTCTGGGTATTAGAGAATCCCACCGCAAAATATTCGGTGGGATACTCTGCGCCTTAGAACTAGCATGCCTCTGCCCTGGGAATTGTTGCGATGAAGGCCTTGGCAGGGTTGAGGGGGGCGGGGGGTGGTTTGCCGAACGGCCTCTTGAAGGGGGGGATTCGCCAAGGCTGTTTCCGGGCCAATTTTTAGGAGCATTTCACAACAATTGGACCTGAGCTATAGGTGAATGTGCAGATGGAGACATTTCGCTAGTAGTGCTGGGGCCGAGGGAGGGATATATTCTGGATTGGGACTATTTTTTTTTTTTTTGCCATAATATTATGTGTAGTTTGTTTTTGTGGATTTTCTGAACCCCTTCTGTCCTTCGAACAAACTTTTAACTCGAGCTCCAGGATCTTGGTTGATTTTTATCACTATCCGCCCCTTTGTGTCCGCACTGGATGTAGGATGGGGGGAATCCTGCTCTGCTGGGATTTACGGAAATGTGATGGTCGGAGGATTGTTTAAGAACCTATTTCATACCTGAAGATCACTTTGCAAGAATCCGGGTAGCTGATATTGTGGACTGGAAGGTGTAGGCAACTATGGGGAATGGTGTCTACTGATAAGGTATGCGAGGGTCGATACTATGACGGCTTGTATCGTACCTCTCTGGTGTTGGGGTTGAGTTAGTCTGAGCTTTCGAGGTAACGGGTGGAATGATGACTGAATATTGAAGCGGTACTACTCATAAAGGCATAGATAATAGGTAGAACTGGTGAGGGGAGCAGTCAGTGTTCCCAACCGTCCCGGGCATGGTGGGTAAGGATAGCAGGGCGTGGCGTCCGTCTTTGATAAAGACTGTCGTCCGAGGAGTTGACGCCCGCGCCCGGGAGTCTTAGACTAATACAAATGGCATCTTCTAGCCGTCCTCACCAGGGCCCGGCTCTCATCTGCAGGTCTATTTGCAGGTGAGACACCTAGAGGGCCCGGCCGGCCGTCTCGGGCAGAGGTTAGGACGGACCACAGGACGGGCGTCCGTCTCGTCCGAAGCTAAGGACGGACGGACTGGACGCTTGGGAACACTGGCCCGGGAGCTCACCTTACCTTATCTACTCTATAGCATCGGTGCGGTGGCATGTCTATCGAGGGATCGCGGGGCTTGTCAAGTTGAGAGGGGTGGGTTTGTGATGTAGGTGCGGTAGAGGTGTGGCGGATAGGTCGTGGTTATGTCTGGAAACTTGCGACTACGGCTTGCTCATGCAGAGGCTAATTGATATGTACGAGGAAAGTAGGTCTTGGAGATCTTGTATTATATGGGACCCTTGATCACCGGGTCCCCTAAATTTTTTTTTTTGGGGGGGGGTCGTAAAATTTCCATCCTGCAATACGGTTTGCTCAAGGTCTGCGCTCGGGCTGTGTCTGTTCCCCGGATTGACGGATTCACTGAGGGAGTACGGCAACCAGAACTGATGGTCTACTCATAGCGTTCGGTTAGCGGGAAGGAAGAGATTCTGGAACGCGTTCCCTTGTTGGGACCCGGGGCGAGAATTGAGCTTCATGAATAATTACTCGTACTCATTGACTACTCACTTTCGTGTTATGCGAGGCACACTTTCAAAGACTAGTTAGGTAGGCAACGCTGTCTGACGAAAGCCCTTTCCCTGTGCTGCATCGGGCCCTTAATTGATACAGCGACTTAAACCTTATTCGTAATGAAATGATTTCTTAGAAAATACGATGCATTTCAAAGAATTAGCTGAGAAGTGGTTCAAGACTATCACCGTTATTTCCTCCCCCCCCTTTTTTGCTACGGCGATACGAAAGCAAGAGGAAAAGTTAAAGTCAAGGTCAAGAAGAACGAATAGAGGTACTGTACACTTGCATGGGTTAGTAGGCAGTCAGGTAACGGGAGAGTTAGATGTTAAATGAATTGAAGGAAAAACGGGTACTATACGATTGAGATTCAGGTTGAGCCCATTTGAGAATAAGAGGACAAGAAACGATGAAAAATGATCGGAAGAACGAAAGGGCGATAACCCTTCCAATAGCGGCCCCATTTGCCCCGTCTCTCCACAATGTTATATAGTGGCTGCTCGTCGGATAACTAAACCCTCCTCCTCATAGGGCAAGTTGCCGTGTGTGCTGCTGGGGGCGGGGGGTTACCTAAACAATTGTATTGATGCGTAGCCTGGAGGTAATACCGTGCAATTATTAGCGCCCAGAGGACACTGGCCTTAGGGATTCCGGACTACCGGTAATGCAATTGCATCATCCATTCCGGCCTTAGCTGGCTTAGTCGTAGGTATGGGAGGCCTGGAACAATAAAAGACCTGAATAACTCTCGCAAGTGAACATGGTTCTTGATAGTATGGCCACCCCATTGGTCGGGGGGAACGTCTCCTGTCATGTAAATTGGCTGCTATTTCTACCAATGCAAGTATCCTACAATTGGGTAGTAAGTTAGTAGGTTGGTAAGTGATCGACGACCAGCTTTGGTTTCAGTATATTGAACTAAGAGAGGAATACGAAAACTACGAAAACTCATTTCAGTCTGCAGAAAACCTTAGGGTTGCAAGAGACCGGTGACATCAGCTAGGCAGCTGGTCATATGAAGCATGGTGGACAGACGAACCTCTTCTCTAGTTGTGCTTCATAGCTGAGTCGCTCGGCTTCCGGCAAAGATGCTGGAGTCGAGTAGACAGTAATCTTGCTCAACTGCACGTGTGCGTTGATAAGAATTTTAGTTTCTAATGTCATTTTAGAGAGAAGAACCATTGGATTCTAAGATAATAGGATAGGGTGCTGTCCATCGGGAGTCCGATTTTTACTAATCATAAGTCTCTGTGCCGACCTATCAGGGAACTGGTAGAGCGAGTGCCAGCCTCCACACGCTATTGGGGAAGGTGTTAGTATCCGGGACAATGGCCTGCAGCGGCAGGTCCCCGAGCTGGACTGTGAAGGATCTTTTCGCAAATGAGCATGGGCAACTATGCCTACTGGTTTTTGATGGTTGGGCGATAAGAGGCTAAGCCCGAGCAAGGATCGATTCCAAGGGAGTATATTTAGAGTAACATATTTCGGTTGATAACGATCTGGAGCGAGGCAGCACTGTAAACTAGCCATATCAACTATAGGGGATATGAATTAGTTTAATCCCGAAATTAGGCAAGTGTAGGTCCACTCCGTTGCTGATTGCCGGGGGTGATGTGGTTTGCCTTTCCACGGCAGAAACATATGTATAGTAGGGTGGTTCACATAGGAGCAACTATAGAGGTTTAAATAGACGTATGACTTGATAAGTCAAGAGCTATTTGGAGGAGACGCCTGGTGCCAAAGACTGGGGAAATACCACAAGGTGGTGGTTTTCACTGCTATGGAGTTTGATGTTCTTTTTCCGACCAATTGGGCGATACAGCGTAGATGTAAGACCACGACCGGGGGAGTCTGGTCCGGAGATGATCTTATGCTAGGTGCCATAAAAATGAGAAAATACATAGGGGGCCTTGCACTTAAAATGTCTACCCGGCTCTAGGCACCATGCAACATTGAATCCTCTAGGAACAAAAGCTTAGGAAGTAAAAACCAGCAAAATTTGGCTAACCCTACTGGTATACTCAATTCAGATAAGGTTTAGTATGTTGATACAATCTTCTTTTAAAGTTTTATTAGGCCCTGTTTAGTGCACAAGAAAAATGCCACTTTTCTTACTTAAATGGTGTTTTTTCTTCATGGATTTATAAATAAAGGGGAAGGCATTTGGTGTACAAATTAAAAGGGGGTATTTTTATAGTGAATTTTTATCTATTTATTTTGGGGTTAGGAGTATATTAGAGATAAGAGTTTAGGGCAAAAACTTTTTTTAGAATTTGCTACTAAAATATATGCTATGTATAATAATTATATAGATAAAACAAAGATTGACTGAATTGCCTTAAACAAATACTCTCTGTTGGTTTTATCAATTTGATTTCTTCCAGAACTACTTATTTTCGAAAGCTAATTGTTCAATCAATAGTTTTTCTCATGGAGCATAAAGGTAGTAGTAAAAGAATGAATAGTAAGAGGTCGTTAGAGTTTATAATGGTAGTTGTAGAGAAGTTGGAAGCTTAGTTTGATAAGTACGTTAAAACTCTACACTTGGAAAAGGAGCAAATATGACAGAGCTTTTGAAAGAGAAGACCAATAAGTCACAACTTTATGAGATGTAACAGAATTAAGAAAGACTATTCTTTTATAAAAACAAGAAGTAGACTGCCAAGATCTGCTAATTGTATATAGTAATATATAATGACTCTATATTATAGAGCTACAGCAACCTATATCAACACCCATACATAAGATCAAGAGATCAGATGGTAGACTAGATGGGCATGCTAGTGCATGTCCGAGGGATATCCAATGGCCTAGGTACCCCAAAGAATAGAAGGTACTTATGGAATAGGTGTACCTAAGTAGCGGAAGTAATGTGACCATATCAGTTCTGGCCTAAAGATAGGTCCAAAGGTCAGGTGAGTTTACCCTATCTAGGAAAGTTAGGTTACACTGCCATGGAGTCTAGTGTTGTATTACTATGAAGATACTTAGCATACCTTTAGGATACTATTACCCTACCTTCCGTTGGAAATGTCCTTAGGGGAATTTCGGGAAATATTAGGATTATTTGTTATGCAATAACAATCAATAGTCACTTGGAGGCACACTGATTGGAAGACTACCGAAGGAGCTATAGTACTCGGAATATGCTGTAACTTGGCAGAATAATTCCTAAAAGGTACCTGCAGCCCCAGGGTTTGCCCCAGGTGT